TCGCTGAACAGGTACAGACCTGCATTACTCAACTAGCAACAGTATTTGGATCTCAGCTAACCGAACTGTCCCTCTCTGCAGAGAACCTGTTGTGTCCAGTCCTGGATCTGTTTCCAAACATCAGTACTTTATTCACATTGTGTTTCAATAAACTGTTGAACTTTTTCCTCTGAGTCCGTGTGTTCTGCATGTGGGTTAGAAACCTTGATCCCAACATGACTGTGTGCAAGAGGGGAGGTATTTCTTGGCATTGGGTTAGGTGAAAATGGGGACGATTATGCAGGACAGCCTTACATAAACATTTCACCAGAATGATTGACAATTAGGTGGACCACTTATTTTGATAATCCACCCGGAAAAACAAACATCCTCCACCATACCTTTAAGTCAAATGTTCTACTTATTGTTTTTGATTTAATGTTATTACTTTGTTTCTTTTATACAGGCCAATATATGTATATATTTAATTCACACCATGTGAATCCTTTTGTGATTTAAACTTTGAAAGGTGCTATAAAAATAACAACTGTTTATTTACTCATCTTGATAGCTACAGTATAGCAACCTAATATGCCTTCCCAGTAGGTACACCTTTCTAGTACAATTTCAGATTGGTTCAACATTTTGTCTTACTTTTTGAGCACTAATTCTTTGTCAAGATTTTAAACTCAACAAATATTTTTAAATTAAATTTTTACTTACCCAGGAGAGTTTCTTAGAAACCAATTTGAATACATGGGAGGCTTTTAATTTAAGCTTGAAGTAGCATTTAAATTATTTGAAAGTCCTCCAAAAGTTGATTTGTTACGTATTCAGTACAAACTGTAACTAATAGACCATGCACTTGGAGAAAAATATTAAGCAATTACTATAATAATCTTGACCTAGAGATAAGAAAAGACCCTAAAAAAAAGTTCATAAAAAATGATATCCTATTTTTATTGCAGTAATGCTATGACCTTTAGTATAATGAATATTATAAGAAAAGCTGCTGGTGGAAAGTTAAGTTGAAAAAAATGTGGTTAAAAAATATATCAAAAACAGTGAAATGGGATAAGAAATATAACCAATTAAAAACAGAGGATAATGAAATGAAGCATCATAAGACAAAATATAGCAGCATCTTTAGTAATCACTAAATTTATTGGCAAGGTTTTGTTTTTTCTCTCCTTTAATTATAATCTCTATCTCTATCCCTTAATACATATATATATATATATATATATATATATATACATATTAAAAAATTGTGAAAAACAAAATCACAGTTTTTATAGCTTCTTTAGCCCACTGAGGATTATTTCATACAAGAACGAAGCTAGTTAAAAACAGAACAGGCGTAAAATGTTTTGTTTGTGGCTGGTGGACAGAGATGTGACTTATGCCTCATTAAAAAGCCATTAACAGCACCAGAGCTCAGACCACTGGATGCAGAGCCTTTGGACACAGGCAAGGCAATCAGCCTAGGAGTTGAAGCTCATTTTACTCATAATCAGTATGACAAAGCTAATATACTTGACACAAAAACAACATGATTACAGAGTATGACAAGCAAAAGGGGGAACAAAGCTTCTCTTAGACTTTATCTGAATCATAGTCACATTTAATGCTGTCCTATAATATTACATTTACAGTTCAATTAAAGGCTGTTTTTATCAAATTTATTTTAAAGAAACTATATTTTTTTTGTGTAGAATTCAATCTTTAAAGACAATAAAAACATTGAGGGAAATTGTTGAGATTACACCCAAGTTCTGTTTTCATCCAGCTATTATGCAGTCAAGCAACTCATATCTTCTGACAGCCCTGTGTTATAAGTGCTGGTATGTGCTCCTGTCACAGTCATTTTCCATTATTTGTGAAAGATGCAAACATTTGTAAAAACAAATTGCCTCGGGTCTACAAAAACTAAAAGACAAAGGGTTCTAAAAGAGAAAAAACTGGTATTTATGGAATGCAATTTATTTCTACCAATAGTGCATAAGGTTTTATCCCTAAAGCACTTAAAACTACTAAAAACACGTAGAGAATATTAAGTACAAGATAAAAGCAATAGACACCAGGCATAAAAAATAAGATCAGGGATAAGAACAGCTGTGCATTATATAGCACATCAAACAGACCAAACAAGGTAATGAGGCCAGGTGGGGTCAAAGGTGAGGAAAGAGACGGTTAATAAGAGACACGAAGATTTGTTAACAATTTTCATCTCAACTCAAATATCTGACTCCATACACACACACACTAGTTTAATTTTTTGTTTATTTAATTTCTTTTTAGATATATGTATGGTCTGTAAAATGAACACACCAGCTAGCATATTATCAATTTATAACTTAACATAACTTCCCTAGTTTTACAATTGAGACAGCCAAGAACCACCTGTAACCCAGCTTTCCCTTACACCCTGTCCAGGACAAGGAGACAAGGGTGACGAGCAACAAGCTCTGCAAATTAAAAGAAACTTTCAGATATTATAACCACCTCTAAATGTAACCAAGGGTTACATTACAGCTGATAACGAGGCTTTCATTACTTCCATTTTTTTTTTTTTTGTATGTCTTGTTTTTTATTCGTTCCTCAGCATCATCGAGGAACCTTGGAACACAAGCACAGTTGAGGTGCCTCATTTTCATTACACTTAACCTACATAAGTGATTCTGGTGCTAATTTGAAGGAGCTCTAGATAATTAGTATATTATATTGCTAGAACTTGACTATGACATAGACGATGCATTTTCCTTTGACCGTTGGGTGAATAAATTAATTTTAATCTCATCTGAAGCCTAAAAGGTTTCATAGTTTTGCTCCAAGCCTCAGCTTTGACAAATATGTGCAATAATTGGAATGCAATTCCACTTTTTAAAAGGTTTTTTTATTAGGTTAATCATCCACAAATGTTTAACTGCATAGTATATTTTTATTACTTTGTCTTGTGGCATTAAATTAATATGCAATGTGTTTGCCCTAAAAAGTTAATAAAATCAAACTGTAATACGGAGGAAAAACTGTCCTGTTTTTTCAATCTGTGTATCTAAATCAAATCAGATAGATGGTTATTTATCAAGATATGTATTATATAAGACCAGAGATTTAAGAGTAAACGTTAAAAAAATGTAAAAATAAAGTAAAACTGTTGGAGTTAAGTCACACTTGACTATGTGCTACAAAACAATGCTAAAATTGGGTAACATAATACCTTAAATAACATTGTACAGACGTCAATAATAAAAACTACATCAAATAACACTTTATTTAACTAGCAATAATTATAACAGAAAA